GAATAGTACAAATATATATGAATAAAGTATTTGCGCGAAAAAATATATAGAGTAGAGTCACGTGTCAATTAAGTATTAATTAAGGGTCTTAACTGTAATTAAGGTTTACAGTAATTGGTGTTTAGTTACACTGAATTAATTATCCTGACAATATTAAAGATCTATTTTTAGTTTAAAATTATAAATCAATATCTATATAAATAATAAACAAGACTAATAGGAAAACATTTTACAATCTTGATAAATTCACAAACATTTATTTAAAAACTATTTATTACATATTATATCTCTACTACTAATCATAATTATCAAACAGGTAAAACAATTAAACAAACTAATCATCACAATTTTTAAAATAAAAATAACTATATTAATTAATATCGCATAGTTTTCAGATAGTCGGCCAGTGTTTCGACCACCGTGTTCAGTTTACCAGGTGGACTATCGGCAACGCCCACCACACATATAAGACCTGCACATTAAATACAGCACCCATGATAAATACATTTAAAAAATACAATCAACATGGTGGATAAAAATGCTGCACACAATACACTTACACATATTGGTGGCCACAATAGTGAGCGGGCAATTGTTAAGCCGGGCGCGGATCAAATTGTCCTCGATGTTAAGGCACATGTACTTCTCACCGCCCAATCGTATGCCCCGCTCCAGAAATGTGCCCGGGTGACTTTTCAACGAGTCAGCGATGGCCTTTAACTCGGCCGGTGTTGCCTGCAAATAGACACATGTGGATTATTTTAATTAATGTTACCATGTTGGTTACATGTTACAAAAATATTTACCATGGTTGTGCCGTCGGTCGCGTGACTGGCCCACACCTGGCCGTCCGCCAGACCGGCCATCACCGCTAGTTTGCAGTCAATTTTGTCGCGGATTTGTTGGTCGACGTATGTTTGCCACGACATGGTTTGGGCTCTCGTTTTATAATTAGTAGTTTTAATTAAATAATTAATTAATTGATTGATTTAGTTTTGTTGGACACACGACTTGTGGTGTATATTATAATATAATAATGATTTAATTAAATAATTTGAAATGAATTGAAATGCAGACAACACTTGTCTATACTGTACAGTACTTTACAATAAATGATTGAATGTAAGTATAAAAATTTATTTATCCCAATATCTCATTATTTGTCATGGTGATGATTTTTTACTGTATAAATAATTATAGATTAATCTATCAACCTGAACTATCTATTGTATTATTGTTTTAATAATACTATAAATAGTTTGCTTACAGTATTTTACCAATAGCATTTAATTTGTAAATGATAGTAAAAATTTATGAATTTTAAATCACATTAATCAAAAAATATTATTAGCTTAAGTCTCATGTATTTATAAATTAATCATGTAGATAAAACAAACATTGACCTTTAATATGGGTTTGCCTATGAAATCATTAAATTATATTTATCTATTTTAATTGATAAAGTTACATTAGCTTATTCACATAAATTAATTACCTTCGCAATATATGCAATCAAAACATTGTGATAATATTTTTATGTAATTTATAGTTAGATGTGTTTATCGATTATATTATTAACAAAATATTTTAAATTGTTTGACCATTTTAAAAAATATTTTCATTTATTTTCATTTATTTTCAATTAATATATCTTTTTATTGCATGTTTTATATCGTGTATCAAATAATTAGTGTTAAAACTTATTTGTTAAAACAAATAAAACCAGATAAAACACACCAAATTTACAAATAATACAATTTGGTTTTATTAATAAAACTAAATAAAACCAATTTTTGGTGATTGTTACTTTGTATAATCTGACCAAACATCACATATTTTATACATTTATGCATATATCTAATTGTTTTTCGGTAAATAAAATGCCGCAACAAACAAACAAATTATATGAATAGATTAAAAGTTTAAATTATTGATTTAATTGGCAACGAGAGCGTACTAAGGGTTTTATTTTTTATTGGCTCATCTGGAATAAAAAATTATTACAACGAATAAAACCAAATAAAACCAAATTTTTGAAAAATTAGTGATAAAACAACAAATAACACCAAATTTCTCTTATAATTAATAAAACCAAATAAAACACACTAAATTCAAAGAAATAATAAAACCAAATTTCTTTCAACACTACAAATAATACAGTAAATTCACTATATATTGAATGATAGAAAATATTAAAGATATTATTTCAAAAATTTATGATTATTTTTTCAGATCTTTCTTTCGCTAAACTTCATTTGAGAGAAAAAATTTTTATAAGCTCTCTCTCTCTCTCTCTCTCTCGTAAATTGTTTGCCGAAAAATTAATATAAAATTTCAAAATAATATAACAAATGAAAACATCAAATGTCAGTAATTAATAATTATTAGACAAATAATATACTCATATAATAATAGCTAATTAATAATTACAATGAAATCTGAGAAACCAATGCATTTAATGAGTGGTAGATTTGAGTCTCAGTTATAACATATAATTTATCAATTTGTGGACAAATATAAGCTATTTATACAATAATTACTTGACTTCTGTTACATCGAGAGAGAGAGAGAGAGAGAGAGAGANTGACACAATATAAAGTGTGAAGAGTTTGAAAATTTTAGTGACAATTTTCTATCCGTATTATAATATGAAAGAGAGAGAGAGAGAGAGAGAGAGAGAGAGATTTTGATATATTATTGAATGAATGTAAATATTTTTCCCACAATTAATTTCTTTATATTAAATCTAATTTATAATGTTTAAACAGCACTCGAAAAATTATCATGTGCAAATAACATTTGATATATTAATTCATACACAATATGTATAGTCAATAAATAGGAAATTATTTTCACAATATATTAAACAAATCCATAGGTTTATTATGAAAATTCAAAATGTGTTAACGAATACAAAAAACACAATACATTTCCATAGAAATAACATATAATAGGAAATACATTGTATTTAATGGCAAATCAATAGATATAACCCCTGCATTCAATCCGTTATTACTAGTTATTATATAAACTCCGTTATTGTATATACACTGTATGACTGGCGCCTTAAACATGGGTTATAGTTGCTGTAGGAAAGGGTGGTGTAGGCGAGGGTTGGGTGCCCTACCATACCCTTCACCTTGAAAAAATATACAAAAACATCTGGTATTTAATGTTTAATTACATTTTTAGAAAAAACATGATAAAAATCTATACATAATTCACTGGAAATAGTGTGTAGTTAAGGGGACAGTTGGCGGGGGGAGGGGTTCATGTGTTTCACAATTGGTAATCATATTGTGTGTGTCGTGTGTTAGTGTCGGCGACCCATCCCTTGTGTAAAAAACCAATTTGTCTATCCTTTCAATTCATACACACAATACAAGTGAACCGTTATTTACGGCCAAAAATTGAAAGTCACTAAAAAAATTGTGACACAATATAAAGTGTGAAGAGTTTGAAAATTTTAGTGACAATTTTCTATCCGTATTATAATATGAATAGTACAAATATATATGAATAAAGTATTTGCGCGAAAAAATATATAGAGTAGAGTCACGTGTCAATAAGTATTAATTA